TAATCTACATTTTGTTTATTGTTCGACTAACTTAATTAGCTAGTTACACACTGATCTATACCAGTATTATTGCGGAGACATTCATGACTTATAAAGTCGCATTAGAATTTTATTGTTAGAAATAAGAAATAACCGTGCCTTTTATATCACATCATCAATAAGTATAATAACAGTTTTGTATAATAACAGTTTTGTTGCGATGAAAACGTATCCTCATAGCAAAATTTTGTAAAATGCAATGACATCTAAAGAGAAAGAGAGAGAAAGGGAAAATGTGAGAGAAAGATAACTCTCCCACATTTTTATTACATATGCAGAGACATATATAGTTACGCCACCAATCAGCACAGATAATGCATTCTACCTGTACACACTATGACATTTTAATGCTTATTTCTTATATATAACATGGTACTCGCCACTTACTTGCTACCAACGTTTTACTTAGCTATGCTTCGTATTATTCTTTATTACTCTTTATTACAAATTCCGCACTTTTTCCTTCACGATTCCTTACGCGCGTTGTAGCATGTCTGGTGCGTATGATGTGTGTTATCTACAATGTCAATGATACAAAAGTAGTTGCTCTGAATATCTTCGATATATATTGTTCAATTGTCGCACAGTCGTTTTACTTGTTAAATAATTCATAAACGTCTAAGCACAGCTGCAATATGTAATCCTATTAATGAATGCTACTCGATACGCAATGTATTGCATAATGATTCAATTGAGGTGTTGAGCATTTTTAATTAGAGAATATGCGCGTACGTCTAGTGATATTTAAATGAAAATTTTACTTAAGTTAAATCAAATTTGATTAATAGGATTAATCAAAAAGTATTATTTTCGCTGCTATTTGAATATTCCAGCGCAATTTTATATTTTTTTAAATAGATACGTCTCATTCTTAATCATAGAACATGTAATATTTAAATTAAAATTTAATTAAAATTATATTTTATGAATTAAAATTAAAAGTTATTAATATTACCTTTATCGATTACCAGATTATTAAACAGTATAAATTTGTATAAAATAGGTACGTCTCATACTTAAATACAGAACACTCATATTTTTAATAATAAATTAATTAAGTTAAATTAAAATTTAACTTAAATTATATTTTATAAATTAATTAAAAGTCATTGTATTTTCGTTGTGTGGCTTGTATTTTTGAACAGCATAAATTAGTATATTTTAAAATAAATATATTAAGATACTTATTAAAACTGTTAAAGTGACAGCTTTTATAAAATCAATATTTCATTTGCTTCAAAGTAAATATAATGTGTCTTATATTAAAATGATTCAATTTCCTTTTATACCGAAGGAATACAGATACTTGTATGTGATATGTCTTCTTATATACAATATTCCGCAGAGATATGTACAATATTCTGCAGTATTATCTTTCCAAGCTGCATCCATCATAATTATTCCAGAGTATACTTAATCAACGTTAGATGTTATCGATGCTTACACTATTCAATTTGGAATATTTAAGCTTGCAAAGCCGTTCTATTTACAAAGTTAATTGCAAGCAATTGTGCTCGCCAAAAGATGTCAATCTATTGGAAGGAAATTACATTACATCGAAAGTAGCTAAATTGTCATACTAAATAAGATAGAATCATTAAAGGAAGGCTGCTAACTTAATTATATCTACGCGGAGAGAAAGAATTGATTAATCCCTTTATTTCCATGGCAAATTACTCTCGTGGCATGCTTGCATAGTTTATTTGCCATTTTTCATTCTATTTCTTTTGGTTTCTCAATGCTCGGATAACAACTCTCTTTTTAACAGCAAGAACTCGATCTCTTCTTACAGTTTTGCTTTATTCTTCTATTGTTTTTTTTTATTGCAGTCCGCTTAACCTATTTCAAAACTCTTTCATAGCCGATATTCAATAATAAGCTCTCTATTTGCATACGTATACATACATCAGTGAACGAAAACACAAAGCGCCACGTGCAGGCTCTGCATCGTGATATTGTACTGTGATTCAGACCGTACAGGGTGTCCCAGTTTATAGAATGTGTTATCCAAAGCTCTGACAGCTTAAGTGAAGCCCTACGAATATTTGCATCGATTACGAAGCAAATATTGATACGTTGCGCAACGTTAATAGTTAATGATACGGAAATTACAGTTATAACTATCGGTTGCGTATTCATAGAATAAATTGATGCAGTCTTAGTAAATGATGGATGTCTTAATAAATAATTCACGCGCTGCCAAACACCTTAAATGAACTGTTACTTCGCGAGTTTATCTGATATTGTCGAGGAAGTGTATCTATTTTATTTTACGAGAAGTGATATTCTTCGCTAGATCTCGTATAACAATGTGACAATATGAATGTTTTATCAGCTTATTCTAGTATGTACAGTACGTTCAGATTTAGAGCATAATAAAGTGAGATCTATTCACACGCAGTACATCGACCACTCGGAATTTATTTAAGGATGCCAAGAGAGCCTCCTCAGTCTTGTACTTATTACGCATATTATATACAGATTATGATATACTCTCTGGTATTTGTTATTTTAAGAAAAATAGGATTACTGAAATGTTGTGTATTCTCTTTAAATATTTTATTTTTGTATTCTTCCCGAAATATGTGAATTAAAATTCTAAAATTAATTGCATTGAACTCTACTTTATAATCTTAGAAAAAAAGTTGTAAATAAATAATTATTTATTTCATTTTGGAACGAAATTTATAAAGAAAAAGATTAATAAATAAATAATTGTTTTTAGTTATAAGCAAGATATTTATGCAAAGATAGGATAAATCAATTTATTAATTTGATGTTCTGCAGGAAGAAAATCGAAGAAATACCGATGTGACAATGTTACACGTGTATACATACTGCCTACTTTACGAATATATATACTAGTAATTTATATACTAATATTCTATACATAGTATATTAATGTATTATACATGGTACTATACAAAGAGTTGTTATAGAATAAGTTTCTATAAACGCGAATGTCCGTCTCGGTAAAAATGCTGATGAACAGTTTAAAATGTCTGCCGAGGTTTTTGGTGCGAATATTCAAGCGATGACTATTAATATAATGCGCCTCGGATATTCTATGAGATTAATATTAGTTATTCCATACACACAGCAATCGTTTTAAGTCGTAGGTCAAAAATTATGAAAAGTCATATACAACGATGCTAATCGATGTCACTGCGTCGATACAGCTTTTAAAAGATAGTTAATAATCTTATTTGAGAAGACCAATTTGATTTGAAATGTCTATTTAATAAGATGAGTTAAATCCAGTGAGTTCTACAATATATTAGAGCAAATCTTCTTTATACTAAACTATAGAAAACTGCGCAGTCCGACGGGAAAAAGGAAAGCAAGCAGTATTGGTATTTCTGACTCTTTTCTACTTATGATAGTAAAACAGCATTAGCCAATCAGTGAATTCCTGACAAAGAAAACAATATCAACTTTGCATTAGAGTATTCTTATTTAGGAATTGAGACATCTCCACTTTTCGATGGCTCCAGCATGTTATATAGAGCTCACTGGTTAAATCTTGCGATGTGCTAATATTATAGTACAGACTCGCGTCGCTGTGACTTGAATAGCTTACATATTGAAAAGAATTATGATAGAAAAATTAATAAAAATTGAAAAATAAAATGCTTAAAGTAATATTGAATTAGAAGAAATATTGCTATCTTTGTAGTATTAAAAAGTATTTAAACATTATTAAATGAAAAAATATTAATTAAATAATATTAAATAAAATTAAACACATATGTATGAGAAACGCCATATTTGGTCAAGGCAGTTATTTGTGTCCCATAATATAATATTTCTTGTAAATCATTTCCAGTTCAAAGCACTCTGCACCAATTATTTATTGATTCTGAAACACAGTCCTAAATCGAAACTGAAGTAGTAATATCACAAATTAAAAAGTATTCACTTTCATGTCGTAAAGAAATAAAATCAGGAAATTACTAATACGGATGCTTATTATTCGTAAGAGAGAGAATTGTAACAAATAAATAAAAACCTTGTGTTGTGAATATAATAAAAAATTTCAGCTGGATATATTATCGGATAATATTCGGCTATCCGGATAGCAAAATAATACTGGATATTTTCTGGATATCTGATGCACTCCTAACAGTTTTCATTTTTCCAATTTTATTTGACTTTCATTACTGATCATTTTCTTGCATTACTTGTAATGTGATTTCACATGCGACGTGCAAATGATATTCTTTGAAATGTAATTAACTCATCTTTAAAAGTTTATGGGAAGAAAGATCGGCAGAGTGTGAACGAAGCATGAAGCTGTCCGAGTTTATCGTTTACTTGAATTGGACAGCTCAACTCTAGCATAGAATTCCTTTAATAAGCGTCTAGACAAAAACTGCCTTTCCCAGCAATTGGCGTAGCCGCATCGTCGCGTCGTTGCATCGTTTGGTTGTCGCTTCGTAATAGTCGTCCGACATTGGAATACACCGTTGGGATACACCGTTCGGATAGCCAATTAAAAATGACGCGAAACAGTACAAACTGTCCATCTTTTGTCATCTCGTTTTTTCGTAAACGTCCATCTTGTTTCAACAAGAACACTTTTTGCTTACTGCTCGTTGTCAGAATCGATCGAGTTTTGCAGGGTAAAAATACGTGCTTTTCGACCTGATAAAAAATATTGCTCACACATTATTGTAAAGAATTTTCTTTTTTTTTTTTTTTTTTTTTAGCTGTATGCAACGTTGTCCCAGTTACATAGAATATCGCTTAGCTATAGTATAAAGAAATAAAATAATTGATAATGGACAGATATAAGCTTTTTTTCGATTTAGAGTTAAGCTAGATACAGGATGAGAAAGATGATCAAGAGCAGAAATAATTTAATTTATATTTTTCTTACATAACAATAATTAATACTTTATCAAAATCATAATAATGCTCGAAATTTATGGATGTTTCAGTTATCTCTGCAATGTCGTTAATGGGACTCTAAAATAAATCCGACGTTCCCCAACATGATAATGTAATTTCGGTCGCATGGGGTAGATTTGCGCAGCCCAACTCTGGTTCCGAAACTGTCCGTAATGACTGTCCCTTAAGTCGTAATCCTCCCTTAGCGAAACTCCGCCGGCGAACGGCGCCAGCCGAGGCCCGCCGCGCACTAACGCTATTTATAATATTATTATTCTATTGTTAAGTTTAAAGTGGTCAACGCAGTCCTCGACGATATTCATCCTCGACGGAAGTCCCTGAGCGATGGATTTACAAGTGGATGTACAAAGTCACGATGATGGCTCGATGATCGGATTACGCGTGCGATGGCGTGCAGGACCGTCGTGGGTGAATCTCAGGCCGGATGTAACGTTCGCATCTGCGGATGATGATGGAGGTACAGGCACAGCGCGACAAGGATCACCAGCAGCAACGAGCTACCGTTGCTGGTAGCGCTGGATTCATCGTAGTCCGCTACGTCGCCGCCGTTCTCCTTTCGACCTCGTAGTTTCAAATCTGTGAGAGATTGTGAAATATGTATGATCAAAACGCAATCAAGAAGTTTGCGTTTGAAAACAGGAAAAGGTCTATTTTTGCGATAAAAAACGAAAATGTTTTGTATACACAAATAAACAAAGGTATTTCAAACAGAGCTTAGAACTTAATGATATTTTTGTGTGAATATTTCCAGTTCAAATAAACTGTACACCGATTATTTGTCGAATCTTTTTTAAAATATTTTAATACTTTTAACCAAATTTTAAATAATTAAAAAATCTTTTTTTGCTTTTTTTCATATTGTGGATTTTATTAGACTCAAAGCGGTCTAAAAATTTTTTTCAAAACATGTTTTCATGTTTTAAATTTGATAAATCTTGATATTAGAAAGAATAAAAAAAGTGAAGTAAAGATTAGCTTTGTTGAAATTAAATTCTGATATTTAATGTGTATACCTCGTTCCTTTAGCATATCTTGATTTCCCTCCAGGATATTATTGTTCCCTGAATTATGCCTTGCTTTACCTGCAAACAGAGTGAGATATTGAACGATATCGTTCCTCTCCGAAGCAAAGTTTATATTTTGATATTATCAATATTGTCCGAATAAATATTTACGAAAACTTTTATTCATAAGATACACCTAATTATGAATATTCCGTTTTATTCGTCTGTACTCACAATCAGTGTAATTAATTTTCTATCGATGTTAGCTTTATTAATCGACAATTGTTAATTAAATGCATACCTCAATTAGCAGCATTTATTTGATAACTTTTACTCTGTTACGTAAACGTGGGAAATTCAGTGTCGGCCATCCGTATAAATTAACGGATAAAACATTATTTAATTGATTATTTTAGTCGTTTTCCCATTCTCTTCTTTGATTAATTGGTGCCCGTTGAATGTCTTTAAAGTAATTTGTTTTGCGTGGTATTCGGTTTCGGATGGTACGTCACGAAACTACTAATGACAACGGTTGTTAAATCAATTGCCAGGAAGTAGCAATGACAGTAGGCACGAAAATTTAAAACGATTTCTGAGACAGATTTACGTGATAGAATACAGATTTGAATGAATACAAATTGTTCTTTTACATACATCACTGTATTAAAAGAAAAATAACAAGTAAAAAACTAGTATTTTTAGATTAGAGAGTTTAATGAAAAAAAATTAACTGTTAAGATTAATATATTTTTGTGGAAAGACGTTATACATTTGTACATACTCATTTGCTTAGTCTCTTATTATTAAGAAATTTATACTATATTAAGGTTCAGTACTCAAATTTTAAAAACTCAAGACATAATTTTCTAGAACATATTATAAATAATACATTATAGATATACGTATTTATATTACGTTGTACGCTTTACTGAAAATATATAATATGAAGTGAAATGATAGAGACTGCATATTCACTGTCTAAATTAAGCCGTTTCAATTAAAAATTTTAAAAATATTCTAATGAAAAGTTGTTAATTTCGGAAGCATTTTTCTACCAACGCAGTGATATATCGGATAGTGGTAATCCTGCTATCTTTCATGAATAAAAAATGCCCCCGAGAGTTTATTCCTCTCTATAAAAAATACGGTCAAATTTTTGTCCTTTGCGCAGAATTGCGGCGAGTTTAAAGCTAAACAACGAAATAAAAAAAACAAGGAAAAGTGAGCGGTGGATGCTCTTGTCGCTATTGGAAAAGCGTTCTAACGTTTTGCTCACGGTGGAAGATCGCTAGTTCGTTTGTCTCCATGAAAAATGCGGCTTGGACCGTATGTTTTCTCAAGTAATGAGAAGAACGAATGGGAACGAGACCGTTGGTACTCGATAAAGCAAGCTTGGCGCAGATTGTGAAAGGGCTTACGATATGAGCAACGTGTTTACTTCCACGTTGTTAAGTTCCTGCGCGAAGTTTCAAAGACGTCGCGACGCTACTTTCGCGTGCGCCGGATAATTGGCCCGTGGCTTTATCTACGCGTCTACTATTTTCGCCCCAAGAAAACGTGATAGGTACATTAACTACTTCGACGTGTGAAAGATAAAAGTGGGCAACAAATCCTATTAAAAGTTACTAACTGGACATGCTAAATCCGCTTTACCCTTAATAGAAACATCGATAATACTATTTCAATTTTCCATTATCACCAGGAATAGAGTATTTACACTGTTTCGCACATTTAACTATGTCCGCCCGTATCGAGGTATGTATATATTTAAGCGCATGTGGCGAAGTGGAAAGAGTTCAATAAAATTGATCCAGGGCGTTGAAACCCGGTCTCTCTAATAAATCTTCTCTCGCGCGTGTAACGTAACGTCGCCTCCCAATCTGTTGGCATCAAAATATTTTGCATATATCGATTTCCGGTCGCCGGGCGAACGGGAAGTCGCGCCGAAGACGGGTCAATAATAAATCCCGGATTTTTCATTATGATGGCGCGGAAGATACTCGATGAAATATGAAAGCAAGTTGCCTTTTGCGAGGCAGCCCGTGCTGACATCATTTCGTACTCCGATTATTTATTGCCGGCAACACGCGCCCTTCGTACTACTAATTATCGTGATTTCTATGTACGGTTATGTAATCGTATATTGGTCCAAAAACATTGCTTCAGCATTATTGAATGAATGGAAATAGATTTGGAGTGTTTATATAAGAGAGTGAGGATACCTAGATCTTTTTAAACAGCGTGCACTGTTATATTCATAATGTCAAATTATATCCAAGGTGAATTATTTTTAATCTACACTTTTAAAAATATCGATGTAAATTTAATATCAGGTAGTGTCTATATAATTCTCTCTAGTATTGGTGTTAATATTATACCAATATGATGTTGTATAAATGTCAACACGGTGTGTATTTATAACTTCTAGCGTTTATATCAACATTATCATGATGTAGATTTAAAATCCATAGTGTTAAATTTACATCATGCTGGTGTTAATGTTAATATTAACGCAGTGAGGATCATATAGACTCCATATGGAGTTAAATCTTCATTGATATTTTTTTAAAGTATATAAATCGTCACTGCTCCTACTCAATACGTTGTTAATTTAACTAAAACAATTGAGTTAAACGTTTTAATTCCAGAAAATGTATTAAATTTGATTAGTTTATTATGTGCATGTGTTAATATGGACGTTGTTTACTTTGTAATTATAGAAAGAATTGATTTACATTTTGATGTACATAGAAATTAAAAATGACAAACGTTATTTAACTCAAGAGATTGAATTACTAGTGCTTGTTTAATATTTAACAATATGAAGAGAATATTGTTTCTAACTAGCTCTCTATTTGTCATAAAGCTGAACCTTATTAAGATGCAATTTTTCGTTTATCCATATAAGCTTCTTAATTTAATTGTTAATTTAAATTGTGCAGTTTTAAAACTTTATTGAATTTTTAACAATTTGACTTTTTGACTATATAGATAAAAAATCCTATAACTTACAATTAGTAATCATCTTACTTTTCTTATGTGAGTATAATAAGCACTATAAGAAGAGAAACCAAATCGGGATGAAATCTATGATACGATTGTTCCAATATATTATATAAATGATTGTAAATAAACACAATTCACACATGGATAACTACGTTTGCTCTTACAGGCTTTTTTTCTAGCTTTTCAATTATAAAGATAATCAAAGTTGTAACGAACTGATTTATGAAAAGGCGTTAGTCACTACGTATATGCCGAATTAATTCGTGTTTATATATCGCGTTTATATCCCGTTATCTTGCACGTCGCGTTGCGGCGACTGCATAAAGACTCGCGATGAAATCGTATTCCGCGACCAAGAGGAGTCCGTGTGGCCGTAAAAACATCGATTAGCCATAAAGCGAAGACGGGGCGAGATGTTTAAAGTTTTCCCGTTGCAAAATGAACCATTAAAGCAGCGAGCGAAGACTCTCAAGCGCCTTGGAACTATATCGCGACCGACGAGAGTGCCTTAAAGCACGTGCTTCAAAGACCGAGTTTTATATCGACGTTTTTCATTCTGATATAGTACGCATACGCGGCAGTTATATTACATTATAACAGTACGATAGAGAAGACGCATAACAACGTCTCAATGTCGAATAAACATTTTTATATCCCCTTGCAGTTTTTTCCAGTCATAATCACCGAAACTGATAACTGTTAACTGGTAATACAGTGCAACAAATTTTTATCAATTTTTCGTTTCTCAACGAGTATAACGGGTATTTCTTGTAGGGCTTTTTATACTGATGTAGAGAATAGATTTTCAAAAAATTTTATCATCTTTTTATTTTTTTAAAAACTTTGTTTTGAGAATTTCTTATATAATAACGCAAATTTATAATATATGTAGGTAATACGATATATAGCTATAAAAAATTTAAATATTTTTTTACAATGTACGAAAGTAAATGTAATGGAAGCCCTTTTTATTGTTTATGTTTTAAATAATATATTAAGATAATAAAATTTATTAACGATATTTAATACAAAAAAATTACACTAATTTAGAAAGTTTCTGTTTTTCAATACCTGAATAATGATTCTTATTTTACTCTGTAAAGTAAAAGAAAAGAAGTTGTAAGAAAAGAAATTCAGATTTCTAAAATTTTTTTTTTAAATAAAGTCTTTGATTTCTTAAAATATGTGGGTGATAGAATTTAACCTTATATTCTTTTTGAACAATTAAGAATCCTTATGCAATCCTGATGCAGTGTAATTATTTGGTAGATTATTTGCAAGATATATTCAAAACATTCGATTTATGAGAGCTTAAAACAGGATTGGAAGTTTACAAAAATATGGACTGGTATATTGTTCTTTTGTGCAATGTTTCGACGATGAATACATTTTGCAGCGGAAAGATAAAAAGCCCAATGTAGATAACAAAATACTTTACGTGCGCTTAGTTAATACTCGGGCACAGCACAACGAAATACAGTGAAGCACGGTACGGCACGGCGCACTGACATGTAATTTACCATCTCCTTTGAGGGGCCGATGTATTGTTCCACAAAGCTCTTCCTGTATTATTATCTCTTTGAATACATCAGCGTACTCGAAATACCGCGTTGAGAGAGAAGAGAGTCTTTCGCGAATTGGTACTCTAAAGTCTAAACGTCTCTGCCCGCCATTTTGTCCCTTTCAATACTCATTTGCATACTAAAAATAAATTCAGTAATATTATATCCATTATCATATTAAATGTTTTATATTAAATAAATACGATATTATTAGGAAATTTAAGCGACGAGATCGAATATTTTACCATCAATTTTTAAACATGCCCAACATATTTTTATCACGTTACAGCATTAGAGCAGTTGTAGTTTTTAAGGGTCAGGTGTATATAATCTCTGCAAAAAGTTAACTGGAATTGAAAATTTATACTTTTGCATATAAAAATATACATTGGAAACAGTTCAATAAGGTCAATATTTATATTTAATAATACAATTTTATTTAATTAAAATGAAAATTTCCTTATTTTATTTTAATTATTTTTTAAAAATATGTCTATTGCTTATTGAAATGATTCAAGTTCTAAATAGCCACCTAACTTTTGTATTACTTTCAAATACAATATAGAAAACTCTGTAATTTTTCATACCCCTTTCATTATGTTAAAAAAAATACATGTAATATATTCTTAAAAAT